GATTCAGCTCCCTGGAATTTCTTACAAGGACCAGTAAGAGAGCTGACATTTAACTTCTTGAAAAGCAGTTTAAAAAGAGCTGACTGGCACTTCAAGTATCCACAAAATATCTGTAATGTACAATCACCTTGAGGCAGAAAGCACAAGTTCCCCCAACACGGCAATAGCCCAGCAATTCCTTTTTCAGTTGAAGTTGTAGAAGGATGAGGGCACTGAAATTTTAGTATTCACATGAATAGTGAGAAAAATGAAAATGAGATCAATCAAGTAATAATCACTATTACTAACGGATACCTTCATGTACTGCAGGCAGCCTGTACACTGCACTACTCTGACTGTCAATAACTATTCTGAAATAAGAGTAGATAATACTGCGGTTGTTTAGATTGCAAGTGAGAAGCAAGAAGTCCTGGCTGCAGTGCTGAGCACATTAAGCACTCTGTGGATCATATATACTCTCTGTGTTAGAATAACTAATAATATTCCACAAAACAAACGGAATCGGAAATATTTTGGAGCATATGGCAATTTCTGCTAATCTGCATCTCCATTGTATCTGCCCTAGGACCCTACTGGTGGTGAGCACTTCTTGCCAAGTGTTTTGTTCTCTCTTTTAAATCTTTTAATCATGGCTGTACTCAGAGATATGACCATTAAGTGGGTCAATGACCTGATCTTGTACGGCAGTCCCTGTACTGTTCTGATACTACAAGAATGATGAATCTTGTCATCATCCTTCAAATTAATTCACCTAGGCTAAGTATCAGCTCTTTTCTTAACAAGTATCAGGCTAGTGCGTATTCCTCTAATTCTATCAAAGACAGATAGAAACCAAGTTTGATATAAAATGTATTTTTTTGTAGAAATGCCAAGTTGCTTCTGTATACTTTTGTTCTTGACAGTGTTTCATGGGATTTTGTTGTTGTCATTAATATATGAATGTCACTGTCATACCAACTTTTTTTGGGAAGCTTCCTGATAAGTGCTACCTATCCCAGTGCTGCAGACCTGCTTCTGTTTCACAGAGGTTGGAATTTTATTTTCCACGGTACATGCTGGTTTTGGTTGTTGTTTTTTTTTTATTTAATTCTGCAAAACTGCATTTCTGAGTGACCTTGCACCTTACTATAGTGAACTGAACTAGCCCATGTTCTCTCATTCCCAGTTAGTTCCCCATTTGCCTATAAGGCCTGGACCTGGAAGTTCCTGAGTCAGAAACATGAATTACTTCTTGAAAACAGTGATTATTTTCTAATCTAGTATATGCAGTTATTTGTGTTTAAATAAGATCTGCTTTAGATCCCGAAAGTAGCTGCCATAGAGGTTTCTGGAAGGAATTCTCTTGAAAGACACACAGAGTATTGCACATGGTCAAAGAATTCATTAGGACACAGGCTCCTTCTCTTGTGTAAATACTGGCTTCTGCCAGAATTACCACTCTGGGTTCAAAGAACCAAGTTTGATTGCTATAATATGGTAATTCCTAGTAACTGGTTGCTGTCTCTTCTTGACTGAAGAAAGCATTGATCTGGTAGGATGCCTACTGTGAGTATAGAAACATACCATATGAGTCTCTTACACCCTTATTCTAGGTTTCTCAATTATAACACTCAATGACACAAAGCCACAGTTACCTGGCTCTGTCTCAAATACATTAAATCCCCTGTAACCAGCCCCACAACAAAACCTCAAATATTTGGCTCTGATGGATGGTGTTATAATGAGGGTGGAGTTCAGTTCAATAGCCAATTTAATGCATCTTAATGTTATAACATGCTTTCGTTTCATATCTAGGACAATAAAAGCTGCAGTAAAGTTTTGTTTAAAGCAGGTCTGTTTTGCAAAATGAGTCTTGCATATGGAACAAAACACTCATTGTTGCTTTACTGTTTAAACCTTTATTATTGCTTTTTTTCCTTGTACAATGGGCTTTTATGCACCAAACAGCTGTGTTCATCATGTTTATTTAGAAGGCGTCCATTGTAGTGGAAAAAGCCTGGAGGACAAAAATCTTGGTGAAGTGCAAGACTACTCTGTGGGTGCTGGCACTTTCGAGGTTTTTTCTGTCCAGTTGCTTTGGTCAGCATGCAAGTCACATACACAGGCACTGCCATGCAGACTTGCAAACCCTGTATAATAGCAACTTTTCACAAGTGCTGCCTCTTGTTCCAAGTGCTCTCCTCCAGAAATTTTCAATTGCAATGTAATGTACAGGACGCACGACTATTTTATACCCTATGATCCTATCATTTCTCAATCTGTTGCTATTTTGGCTGCTCATTAGATCACTTTCTAAATATTGTGTACAGCTATGTGTCAATCATTGTCACAGCTCAACTCCAGGCTAAGCCAACCCAGGACAAAACTGGGAGGGAAAAAAAAAATGCCAACCAAAGCAAGCACTGTGTAGAAAACAGTCAACAGTTTAACTGTGGAAAGCTATGTGTTGTTCCAAAGATAGCATAAGCCCACTATAGCATAAGCAGCATACAATACTAATGTTCCCCAAAATAATTTTATGCATTTGAAATACGTAGTGTATACCCAATGGCATCTGCAAATAAACAAATGTTAGCATCTCGAGAATTAAGTGCATGACACTTCTAAGTGACTCCTGCCAGAAAACCAGCCTAGTTTCCAGGCTTTGGAAAGAACGGAGCATCAAACATACTGACACACCTTTTTTTGAGCAACAGTATTTCTAATGCCTTCTAAACCCTTGAAGGAAAGCTGCTGTATAAGCAGGCAGCATTAGCCTATGCAACTAAAGGGTCCCCTGCTTTCCTCAGGGTATATCCATCAGGGGAAATGCATTCCCATGCCATACGAGATGGGTGCCTCTTTCCCTCTTTTCAGGTTACCCTGTATTAATACACAGTTCAGGTAAAGACTGGAAACACAGAAGTGTCTCTGTTGGCCACTTAGTGAATGCTATTGTTGTGACAAGCTGGAAAATGAACTGGAGCAAACTAACATGCTTGATCTTTTAAAAATATTACAATATCTGTATAGAATGAAACGAGTCTTTATTTCCTGAGCGGTGAATGCTGTAGGCTTGCTATAGACCTCGCATTCTCAGCTGTTGTCATTCATGTGCCTCGCAAAAGTGGAATGAGGTTAAAAAGAGCAGAATAAAGTTGCATCCATACAACTCATGGATGATAGGAATCCATACAGAAATGCATCAGCTAAAGCTAGTGTTGGCATCCAAAAGGAGCGTGGCTGGGTGAGGCTGCAAAGGGGCTAACTGCTCAGAGCTGAGGCTGAAACAGGGGCATACCAAGGAAAAGATTTTCCAGAAAGAAGGAGAAAAGTTCTGGAGGGAAAATGGAAAGAAATGTGAGCCAAATGGAGAGAGTGTGACAAAAGGATTAGCCCTACTTGCAAAGAGTATAGTAGAAGCAGAAAACTAACTTGGGGGGAAGACAATTTAAGAAAACTGTTTCTCAAGAGACTGTCTCAAAGGCTTCCTGAATGCAGCCTCCATTTACTTTTTTCTTTCCTTTTTCTCCCAAGAAGAAAAAGAACCCGCTGTGAGCACAATGTGTTCTAACTTGGAACAAACACAGACTTGAGCAGGGTCCCAATCTGGAGAGCCCATGCAGGCCAAACTCCGGGCATCTTGTCACTACCTGCGCACCACAAAGCTTATAAGCCAAGCAGAAAGGTGCAAATTTGCTATCAACAGGTAGGTAGCCAGAAGTTTAAATTACACTGCCTGATCGCCTTTTTGCAAAATCAATGTACTTGGTAAGTCTGCGTGGTTTTAAACTGGGTATGTTATGTTGTGCTTAATAAGGTTGGGTACACCAGACTGAATGGATCTTGAACTACATACTTCCAAAAATAGTGTCTGAGTGTGGATGCACTTTGTGAAATTCTTAAGAAAGAATTTCTAATTAAGGAAAAAAGAATGTGTATATATAACTCAGGCTCTTAACTGCTAACAGCTATAACACCAGAGCAGTTGGGGAATTTGATTTGTTTTTAATTAACAACCCTGTACCTTTGCTGACAGAACAGGAATGTGTATTTTGACTGAGAACACTTCTTAAACCTCAACATAAATGGCACTGAGAGAACTTCTGTGGGAAGAGCCAGGGCAGGCTGGATGCATAGTCCATCTAACCCGTGTCAAGTGGAGGCACTGCTGAATGCCTTCAGCAAGAGTCCCATGGTAGGGAATAAATGTGTTGTTGCATCTCTTCTGGAGAGGTTATGAGTTATGGTGTTCAAGGTGCCACCTCGCCTATCCCCACACACGTGAAATACCTCCAATGCAGAAGTGCTTGACCTCAACAACTTCCTGTGACAGGGAGTTCCACAGTGAATTGTCTTTGCATACCCTAGTTTTTTTAGCCTCGTTCCCTTTGGTTTCATTTAGTCTTATTCTTGTGTTATGAAATGTGTGCAAAACTTCTTTTCACTGTTTTTGTCACGTTCCCTTTCCACTAGTGCTGGTCTCTGATCTCTCTTAAGCTATGTATATTCTTTATATTCAGCTTTTAAAGTATCACTTTGTGGAGAAATATAAAGGGGGCGGGTGGAATTTCTGTACGTTCTGACGGATGTGGCACTGTTTTTGTGTGTCCCCCGTCCCTCTGGCAAGGGAAACCGGTGTAACCATTGACCAGACTGTCAACACGGGCGCCCCTCGCCGCTCGCCGGCTGCGGGAGGAGGCGGCGACGGGCGGCCTCGCCAATGCCGCTCCGGCAGCGGCGGCTCGCCCCGGCCCGGCCGCCGGCCCGTTAGCGGGACGGGCGCTGCCACCAGCGCCGAGGGGCCGGGGCTGGCGGAGCGGGAGCGCGCTTCGGCGGGGCGGAAGGCTCGAGGAGGGAAGCGGCTGGGAGCGGGTCTGCCCAGTCCCGCCGGCGCGCTCGGTCCCGGCCAGGGGGAGGCGGGGGAAAGCTGCCGGGGCATCATGGCGGTTGTGGCCCGGGGGTGGGGGCCGGGGTCAGCGGGCCGGGGGCTGCACCGGGTGGCGGCGGCGGGGACTCACCTCGCTCCGCTGGAGCTGGAAGAAGCTGTTGAGATAGCTGGAGCTGAGCGAGGAGCCCAGCTCCGGGGTGCTCTTGGTGTAGCCGAGGTCAGGGTGCTGGGACGAGGAGGGCTCGGGTCTAAAGGCATCGAAGGCGCTGGCCTGGTGCGTGTCTTGCAGCGAGAGATAGACCCAGTTGAGGAGCTGGGCGGGCTGGTAGACGGACGCGGCGCTGGTGTCGATGGTTGACAACAAGCTCATCTTTGCCCCCGGGCTCTGCCGGCGGCGGCTGTCCCCGCGGTGCCGCTCCCCCTCCCCGCGCTCCGGCCGGCGCCTCTTTTCCGTCCCTGCCCGGCGTGCTTCCTCTTCGCCGCCCGCAGGAGAGGAGAGGACCGGGGTCTCGCTGCCGGGCCCCGCTCCGCTCTCGCTCCCCCTAAGGCCGGCGGCGCCCGCACAGCGCTCCGCGCAGCATAGGCATTGCTGCTGCTGCCGCCCACGAGCTCCGCAGAAAACTTTCTGCGCTCAACCCTCCCTCCCCGCCCGGCCGCTGCCTGCCCCGCTATCTGTCTTTATTCCCACTCGGGCAGGCAGCAGCGGCGAGGGAGGGGCTGCCGGCGCTCCGGCCGCGGCGCCGCGCCCCCATACGCCTCCCGCCCGCCGCGGGGGTGCAGGGGGCGGGTGGTGGCTGTGGGTGCACGGGAGTCCCGGCGCCGCCCCCCGCCCTCCCGGGCTCCGTGAGCGCACATGTGTGGGTACGTGTGTGGGTACAGGCGGTGTCCCCAGGCCGCTGGCCGGGGGGTGTCCCCGGGCCGCTGGCGGCTCGCCCGCCTGGTTTGCGTCGCTCGCTCCCCGGCCTTCCTTTTCCTTCTTCCTGATGATTTTTACGCCAAACACGCTCAAAGCCCTCCCCAGGGCTTCTCTCGGGGCCGCTTCGCGGCTGTTTTTAACTCCGCGAGTTTCGCTCGGTACCTCGTCAGCTTGCCCTCGCTTAAAACTGTCCTTTTCTGGGTTTTGCCCGTGCTAGGAGCTCGTCGTAATCTGAGGTTCCTTCTCACTGCCAGAGCTCCAGGTTTACGAAGGCTTGCTCGGTCACTGAGGTTGTGCCAAGCCTTGCAGTTAGGGTTTCCCAAATAAGGCAGGCAAGCGGCGTGATGTTCCCTTTGAAATCCATCTAGGTAGCCCTGGCGCAGGCTCTTGGGGAGCCTAGCTGCGGTAGGATCCTCTGGAGTTAAAGCTGAATAGGCCTTGTAAGGAGTCGGTAGCACAAAAGAGGGTGATGAATGATTCTCCTTTTAGGAAGAAGCCTGAGTGGGTAAGCTGGTTAATTACAGTTCGTGAACTCTTCCTTGCTGCCTTCCCTGCAGTGAGTGGAGTGGAGCAGCTATTTCTCGCTTTGGTACAAACACAGTAGCAATCTAACTAGCAGTTTTCTTTTTAAAACCAAAGAAACTCCCAGGAGGTAACTTAAAAACTTGAGCAAAGCTCCTGGTTCTCTTTCCTGAGTAACAGGATGCTAAAAATTAATGTGTCTTCCCAGTATGGTCTTGGAAAAAAAAATGCCTGCCTTCCTTAGATAGCAGAAAAAAAAATATCTGACCTTTGGAACATCATCTAGGTTTGCCTTAGTGAGCCATACATCTCTGCCAAGACTGAAGAAAAATCACTGTTCTGAAAAAGCATGGTTAGATGCAATAGCAAATGCACATCAGCGTACACACAGTAAAAAAACCCTGCCATTAAATTGTCAGCTGCAAACACCAAAGATGGATGCATTTTACTTTTGAGAGCAGGTAGTTAAGGCAGCACAGCTATCTACTTGCAGGAATGTAAGCAAAGATTGCAACTTTCCAGAACTGCAAGGCGAGGTGAAGTTGGGAGCAGCTCAATCAAAATGAATTCCTTTAGTGGTGCTAATATTTTGTATTTTTAATGACAGAGTCGTTGAAGCATGAATGCAGTTTGCTCATTTGTAAGCTGTCTTGGTTTACAGGCCCTTTGGAGTGCATCGGCACATGTGTGCATCAGCATGAGAAGGAAAACATGACAGCAGTGTGAAGGCTCTTTGTAGCCCTGTAACTGTCCACAGCACAGGTCATAACAGCAAAAGAATGACATGAAATAGCATCCCAAATTCAAACAGTTGCATACTGTTTTAAAGAAGCAAAAACGTGAATAAGGCTTGGTGACTTACTAAATTGTGGTGGAAGATTGTCCAGGATTTGCTGGTAAATGGAAAAAGAACAGGAAATACAGATCACATCTGAGGAATTCACCTTTCTGGCAGATGGTGATAATAAAGTCTGGATATGGTAGAAAGTCTACAAGGGGGAACTAGGATGAAGCCACTTATTGTTGTGGATTTTTTGTAGGCATGCTAATTCCTTCCTTAAAGACAATTTCTATTTCTATCACTTCCCTCTTTAACATGATACATTAAAACAAAATACTTGTATTTTTATTGGACAACTCCACTGTTCTCTCTGATTAACAACGTGCTGTGAAGCAAATTTTTGAACAAGTAGAAAAGATAACAGGGTTCTTGTACTAACAGAGGCCAAAATACAGAGTGGCTGAGGTGATACAATGTTTTGGATTAACAGCTCTTGGTATATTTTGATACGTTTTTTCCAAACTGAGTGTAGCTGTCATTGTAGACAGTTGGTTTGACTGCTTTACTCAGACACCGCAGTACAGATTGCAGCTGGGCAAGAGAAGGCAGCGTTAGAATGCACTTATTACAGCAGCTGCATTCGGAAGTGCAGCACCTCCCTGTGATGTTAAAGACACCACACTTTCCACCAGATACATTTGAACATTGAAAGGTTGTGGCTGTAGTTTCCCCTTGATAGCCCTGGTTGTTTCAAGCAACCACAGAGAGTAATGAGTGAATTGAATAGATGCTTCACTTTGCATATCAAGAAGGGAAAATGTTGCAAAAGCCTCTGCTATGCATGCCATAGCTAAAAAGGACAACATTTTGAGATTTAGTTGTCATCCTGGTCTTCTGCTATATTTTTTTCTGGAAAAGAGTTTCTAAGCAGTTCCCCTCCCTTTCTGAACTCAATGTCGCTCTTAACAAAATGCTGCTGCCACATCTGCTGCTGTCCAGTTATGTTCAAAATAGTAATTTTATTTTATTTTGTATTTTATTTTATTTTTCATTTTAAGGCCCCTCTTTCTTCACCTCTAGAAGTTATAGATTAGTGAAGATTGGCACAACTGATCTGTTTAGCAGATACATGACGGTAGAGAGAAAAACCTGTTCAATGAGATAACCCTATGCCTGCAAGATGTCTTCAGGACATGTCTATGGTTCCTACTGATTACATCGGGGTGGACTATGACATCAACCCTATGGGTTATACAGCAGCCTTATGGTGCTGAAACAGTTTACTTTTTAATCCTCCTGGTTTTATTCATGAATAGCGCTAACAAAGTAAAAACAAACAACCAAACAACTGGACCTGTAACATGAGACTCAAAGTAATCTGGATGGTTTAAGTAAGCTGGAAAATAGAAGCCTTGAAGCAGGTCAAAGGCAAACACACAGATAGGATCCGACACCTTCGCCCCTTAATGAGCTGGGCCTCTTGAGGCTGTTCTCTTCACAAGGCATCTTCGCAAGAGCAAAGAACATAATTTTCCACTTCTGGTCAGGACTAGTTATTTCTTAACCTACTGTAGTTATGTTCCTGCTTTCAGTGTTCATACCTTGGATGATGTCAGCCTTTAAAATCCGTATGTAATTTTTAAATATTTTTTTTAAATATTTTTTTATAGAACTCCATATTTTAAAAATGAATGTGACCTAATAGGAGTATCTTGGATTCTCATGCTTCTAAAGATGCCTTTGTGTGAATTGCTGTAATCTTAGCTATCTTCTAAATTGGATGGGACTCCAAAAGGAAAATAGAATGAATACCCAAAACTGCTAACAATGCTAGTGAAAACAGGTGATGTGAGCCCACTACTGTGATCTCTGTTTTCTGTAATTGGGATATAAGTAATGCAATGGGCCATTCAGCTGCAGTTTACATGGAATATTCCAAGTGAATGTTTTTCATATGCTGCATCAGAGATTCTTATCTTATTATGAAATAATCTAGCTATGCAGTGGAAACAGTGTGTAAGCGCTCTTCAAATTATGAGAAGGCATTTCAACAGAGTTGTAAACCGTAAAAGTACATCTGCATCTGGCATTTCTGACTTATGGACATTACAGCCACTTGTGCTTGCTACGTAGATACAACAGTTTTGCTGCCAGTAATGAAACACAGCATAACCATAAACCAAAGTTACTGAAAGGGAATCTAGGAAATGTATGTGTGTGGGTCTGTTACACCATGTATTTTTGCATCAGCTCAGCTGCAACCTCGTGCTCAGATAGAGGAAGAAAACAGGAATTTTGACTTTAAGTGACTCTTTCTCCTATAGTTTTGACACAGAAAGTTCTGGGAATGGATGAATATGAATTTATAGCTCACTCATATGTAGAATTTTGGTAAATATATACCAGACACAGTAATGATTTGCTATGGGTAGTGTGTGAAGCACAATTCCTGCAAGACTGTCTCAAACCACGAAGTAGGTGATTTATGTAACAGATCCTCTTGGAGCACACAGGCTTTGCACCTGGCCAGCTTATGGTTTCAGGTCTTGGGGCCTCCTCACTCACTCTGTGTTAAGATGTCAGTACATTGCTGAGTATTTGGATGAAAGATTCTCTGGATATGCATAGCTGTGTGAGAAATACTGGTTTGATTTTTGCATTGCTTTGCAAAGGCTCCTGGAAACTCTTTAGCTGCAGCACAGGCTTCTGAGGTGTTTTGTTATTTCAGTTGTAAAAGGCAGCAGTAGCTCCGTGTCCCTGGTACTGATCCAGAAGCTCATTATCCCTGTCCAAAACATCTCATCCTTTTTATTTAGCCTGTCCTAGCCCCTTACTCTTGCTTGTCTCAGGAATCCAAGAGAGGAAGTTCAAGGAAGAGGGCACAGTGGAGGAGCAGGGCAGTAGCAGTTAGGGCACCCGGGCAGCCCATCTGCCTTACCTGGCAGTCTGTGTTGAAACCACTACTGATGCTGGCTTCAGCAGCCAGAGAAATGGCATGCGAGTGGGGAGGCCCAGGAAGTTATTATCTCCTGGGAAATCCCTCCGACCTACCTTATGCTGTAAGAGACTCTTTACTGAGGACGTTTCTTAATGTCATCATTGCTTTGTAACTGGCTACAAACTGAGGAAGATGGGTGCTGCCTGTGGAGCTCTTTAAAGACCTTGGTGTTAAAGCATGCAATAAAAATACTCAAACTGCCCAAGGAGGGAAACGATGACTATTACTGTATTTATTTATTTAAGCATGGAGTTTTTAATTTGTGTCTTTTTATGTGTGCTTTTACTGCAAGTAGTATCTTTGCCCATCTCCTCTCATTAAATACATGGTACAGCAAGCTCCAGGAGCCAGAGACATTACCTAATTGTTTGCCATCCCTATGATTCCCTGGGAGCTCCACCAGATTTTTAATTCCAATACTATAAACTCTCTGAGTTTGTTTGCTGAGGTAGAACAAGGCTTTGAGAAAGTA